GCTCTTCTTCCAAAGAGAGACGTCATTTCAGGGATGGTGTGAGGGGCCCTTGTGTCCTTTTCCTCAAAGAATACTATCCAAGAGGTGTACAACAGCCCGTCAGAGAGAGAGCTCGTAGCCATGTCAACCTTTGTAGGTATTACTCTCATTCGCTCTTCTATAGCCGCAGTAACTACACTAGGAGTAGTAGGGATGAGGGTTGATATAATTGCTCCTTTTTCATTGATCTGGACTGTTTCAACACTTCGAGGGATCCCTGATAAACGGAATACTGCCCAGTCTTGCGAAGCCTCTATTCTGGCTGCATGGGACAGGGTTTGAATAAAGGCCTTTTTTGTTGATAAGAGGGTGGCTCGGGCTTCCTTGCTATTAGGTACAATAGCAAAGCCAGAGTTAACTGACAGTACTTCTTGTTCAAGCTCGCTACAGCCAATTTTTGGGTCGCAGAGAGCAAGGTAGATAGCTAGAGCAGAGTTTTTCCTTTCAGGAGCGTCTAGACGTAGTCGGATAAAGACTCTGAGGTCAGATTTGGCTAGGGATCTCTTGTTCTTCTGTAGCTTCGAAGTGACAGGAGGAGGTAGGGGGTTTTGTGGTGTTGCTGTATCAGGCGCTGAGGCATCTTTTATGGTCTGTGCGTAAGAAATTTTTCCCACTGGGGCCAGAGAGGGGGATGAAGTCGAGGGGGATGTAGGGTCGTCCCTACACCTGTTGGGGGCTCTAGGAGCTAAATGTAGTAGAGTCGGGGCCCCTGAGGTGTATGTTCGTTGAAAGGCTATGCTAAGGTCTGCCATCTGTGTACAAAAGGCCCTGAGGTAGGGCAAGAGGTCCGGAGGTGCTCTATCAAGAGCAGTACTTAGGTGGTGGTCTACAGCTTCTACGGTGCCTCCAAAGAATATTTGGCCTATAGCACCACGTTCTAGAGCTTCAGTGGTCCCAGAGACAAATTGTTGTTGTATGTTGAGGAGGGAGGGAATTGGGCGTACCCCCCCTTTCCCTATACCCCTTCCTAGGGGCGTAGGCGTGGCCGGAGGCCTCCTTAGAGGTGTCTCCATGGAAGGAATTCAGCTTATTAGGGGAGAGTAAGAGAGATTGAGCGTTTTAGAACAAAAAATTCAATCTACTAAAAAAGGTGTCGTTGTAGTTTTATATATAACTATACATACAATTATAAATATTATATAAAGAGGTTAAGAAAATATAAATAGATTTACTATAGCTTAAAACTAAATCTAAGCTATTTATTATTTTATAAATCTTTATTTAATATAAAGAGTTTAAATTAATCTATTACTTTTAAATTAATTAAAATATTAAACGTTCTTTAGAAAAATGCTAAGTTAATATGTTCTCTTACTACTAATCATATAGTAAGTAGTATCTTTTAGAAATCTTTAGAGAATTTTAATTAAGTACAATCTATTTAGAAATAAAAGTTATTTTATATAGTTATTTCTTAACTACTTTAAGTATATATCTAGACTCTTTGCTCTAAACATTTTCTTATATAAAACCAAAAAGATTAGTTATACTAAGAGGAATTAGATCTAAAGTTAATTAACTTAAGATAAAAGCCTAGAATAAAAGATACCAATTAACTTATAACTTAAATAGCTAGCTGGTTTAGTAAAGAGAATTAGAGAATTAAAAATTACAAAATAAGTTCTATACTATTGGTTGAAATCGCTGATTCAAGAACTAATGTAGTTAAAAACTGTGGTGCTGTAGAATGAGTCATAATTCTTGGTATTGTGTTGGTGGTGCTTCATTCACAATAGAACTCGCTTAACAACCACAGCAGCACAACAGAATTGGGAGTCAATGACGTCAAAATTTGGACCTCCTGACTTTCTCTCGCTTGCATTTTTGCTTTGCGACAATATCAGAATGACCCAAATACACGAGAAGAAGGTATTGTTGTGAAGGTGAAAGGGAGTCAGTCAAGGAAAACATGAGGGTTTGGAGTATATTTATTTCTCTCTCTTTCTCTCTCTCTCTCATTTTTTTTAGAAATACACATACACACTCTTTTGAACTGGCAGGTACCTTTCAACCAATTTCTCTCTACTGATCTCACTGTCTTCAATCAATTCTTCTCTCACCGACAACCACCAATAAAGCACCCAAAATGCGCCCCCTCTCTGGTATCTTCTCCTCCAAATCCTCCAACTCCGACTCCAACCCCAACACATCGACCTCCCGCTCCGCCTCAAAGAGCAAGTCTTTATCTGCACCGGGATCTGAATATTCTGGTAACGCATGGGAGAAGGGAGCTACGGGCAATCCATGGGAGAAGGCAACAACTGGAACCACCACCACCACCATCACAGCTACCAAGGGTCGATCCAAGTATGACCGATATGCTAGCTTACAAGGAATTCTGAAGAAGGTGGAGTGGAAGGTTGAGAGAAGTTAGAGAAGTAGAGGAAGTGGGACGATGAGTATCTGGGAATGGGTGGGAGGATGGGACAGGGCGTGGCGGAGTGAGAAGAGGAGATTCGGTGTGCGCTGGATGGGAGCAAGCTGATTGGGGGGAAGTCATTGATCGGTGCTGGTGACGATACGATGAGGTTGTCTCGGGCGTTTGCGTTGGTCTTTCTGTCATATGGTAGACGCAGGAGAAGCTACGGGGGTTTCTGATTGGAATTTAGGTTGGTTGTTCAGGGATCAGAGATAGGAAGGGAGCCGCAGCGCTCTAGGTGGTTTTGAACATCGATGTTGCGATAATTTGCTATGCTCGAGATTCACTTTTTGCGAGCGTGTTGTGATGGTAGTTTTGTTTGCCGGCGAGACAATTATAAAAAGACCAACTGCACAGCAACCGTATAATTTATGCCAATTTACAGAAAGCTGCGTCTCATGTGATAAGATAACATACACTTGATCTCTGAGCTACTTCATGAGCTACCGAACAAGCTGAAACTCGACACTAATGATATAAAAACACTCCAACTACTCATTTCTTAATCTCCAACTTTCTACAATGGCTACAAACTCAAGGAAGACAGAATACATCCCAGATTCCCACAATCATTCATCACCTTCTGGACTGATTAACCACGATAATCCCACCATCATTGATCCCTCCTACTGTACTGGCAACCAATCAAACGTATTGAGAAATGGGAACAAGAAACTCAAACCCTGGGCATCAGGAAGAACTCGATCCGAGATTCGATCACGAGTTCTAGATTAATATTAAAGAAAGCTGAAGGATTTTATTTCACCTTGTGGTGAAGAGACGGTCGAGGTTACAGAGGATGGTGGCGCTGGGAACGAATGTGTAGGTGGCAATGGGGAATAGAAGGAAGATGATGGATATTCCGAGATTAGGAAAGAAATAGTGGATGACAGGAGAAACGAAAAGGAAGACGAATAGTAGAGGCGTGATAGAGTATCTCACTGGGTTATCGCAGCGCTTTCCTTCCTTCGAGGCAGGAACCGGCTTGGAACAATACAAAATCCCCAAAGCCTGAGTATAGCTGTCATGAACGTATGTCTGGTAGGATATATGAAACTTGTGTATTGATTTTGCTTGCTTCTTCCAAGTTGAATAAATATCACGCTAAACAGCCGCGAACAATTGACCTTTTATTGCGATCGGTGAAGGAAAATTAGCATTTTCAATTCTTTGTAAATTAAGCATCCTCGGTTAGGTAAACTAATTGTAACGAAATTTTGCATACATATTTCATGACTTCCCTATGTGCGGTTCTCGTGGCTACAGTATCCCCTTCTGAGCATTCTACAAAATCTTCAGTCAACTAGAGCATGAAAGCCAAAGAGGTAGTGAGATTTACAGACGCATAACTCAAACCAAGCATAGAGAGCCACAATGTATTAATCCGTCCTACATCTCCAATTTCTCCCTCTCCTGTCATTTTCATTCGCCATAACCCCCAACTTGCTATTAGGCAGGCCTCAAGACGATCTCGAAAAGTGGATGTCTTTGGGGCAAAGTATGGAGCAGATAGAACAGTGATGATGAGGTAAATCAACTGAGTCACTTGGTTACTCCTGGTAGCCACGAAAACGGAAGTCAAGCTGTAGATGAAAATAACGGGGATTTGAAACATCCAAATGGGTCTGCCATCCAGATGACGAATAATCGGTACGACGTTGGTGGGATACTCAGAGATGGATAGATGATTTGGCACTTGGATGCTTTGCCTAGAGCGATCCTGTGTACGGAGATGAACGGAATTTTATGGAGATTACTCAAATAACTGATCTTGCTCTCTCATGGTAGTTTAAGAACGGAACGAATTATTTCTTCCTGAGTTCTTTCGGAAGGCGGGTTGTCGACGTCTCGTCTTGATATATAACTTTCTTCGGTTTTTTATGTAGCTCAAAGAGTATTGAGGTCTGAGATGAGAATTTTGTAGAAAGCAACTGGAAGTCATGTCATTCTATACGTGCGATTGTATCGGGGATGATTTTGGAAAACTCCTGGTGAGATTCTTGACGGTTTCTATAATGTGGCACGGCACTTGTCGAACTTTTATCCTGTACGTCGCTACATTTGTTGATGTTTGCACTCAAAAAGTCAGTGATTTTGTGGGAACCATCCAGTGAGAGAGAAGAGTGTGCCTATGCATATTCGAAGACAAAGTCTCTTGAGATTCCACAACAAAAACAAGGAACGAAGATAGAAGAGATTAGACCAATGTACAATGCTGATATTACAGCAAGAGTCGGCAACGAAACAATGAAGAATTGAGATAGGAAAACTCCCATGACTCACCCCGGTACAATCACAAAGGTTACAACGTTCTCATGATCTACAATAATCATAAAATACTATACTTCGATTCACGCAGTGTCAAGAATGTGTTTAAAATGGATAATCTCCTTCTTGAGCCTCTAACTCTCGCACAAACAACAAAAGCCCAACCTAACCCCAATTTCACCCCAGCTGCAAGACAGGCCCTATATGCCAAACCATATATTTATATATTAAGGCTTCGATAACATTGTGCCCCCGCCACCTCCCCCCCCTTCCAAAACCCCCACCGTTTGACTGTTTTCTTCATCACAGAAAAACAAAAGGGGTATTCATTCTCCACTACATCACATATAGAATATCGTTGAGACGGGTCATATCTATACAGCTTTCCAATATGTTTGAGTGGACGCTTCAAGAAAGAGTGGCAGCGGAATGTTTGAGAAGACTGGCAGAAAGAGTACACCCTGGATGCTCTTTAATTCAAGAAGACTTCATTAGAGGAGAACTCGAGTCACAACGTTTCAAAAACTGGTTGCGGCGATGGGGAATACAGAACCGACGGTACACCATAGATGAGATTCATAAAACGGTAACGCAGAAGTCAGGCCGGAGAACCTTCATACCTCAATCGTACATCGATCAATGTTACAGCGACGAAAACTATGAAGCCTTCATGAGGGCATGGAACGAGGCTATTGCTGCTGTTCACGACGTGTTGTATCGACTAACTCAAGGACTACCAGAAGAAGCTGCAAGAAAGGAAAGAGAGGAGGCAGATTACTACGTAAAGCATCTGCACGCTCTCGGTATATGGAATGAATTGAACTGGCCCGCTTATCAAATTTTGGCCTTTAAACATTTCATAAAGAAGTTTTCACCAACGCCCACAAAGCCAATTTGGAACTGGATCGAACTACAATATGCCATGGAAGATTATGCGAAACAGCAAAACTGGCAGCGGAAGTCCTTCCCCTTTCTAACGTTGATGGCCCAATATTTCTCGCGACAAAACGAATTGGACCGAGATCGAAGGCTGGATCCGGCACGAGAAAATCCAATATACAGATAGTGGTGCTCAGGGTCAGAGGGACGGCTTTTCCAAGTAGCAAACTCATTCCTCTATCATATTGACGCTAGACTCGGGCATAAGGATTTCTTTTCAGTAACATTCTGTAACTAGACAGGTTGAGGGAGCTGGAACATTGGAGCTGAGGGGCCTGTTCATGTTTGCATGGAACTTTTACCAAACCAAATCATTAGAATTTCAGAATAATACAAAGTCAGATATTTCCACTACTATACCATTACGGCTCTTGAAATTTGTGGCTTATTGTCTTCCCATTCACAGATCACCTAGCGAGTGACGTGAGATTATGAGTTTAAGGTCCAGTTATGACGCCCACCCTACCCATTAATCATGTACACATAGTTTCACAAGTTAATATTTTTTCCCCTTTATGTGCGAGAGACTGTTCAATGTTCATCTTCGGTGGTTTAGAATTATGGGGTTGATGGTAATTCTTCCCATCCAATTTATCGCTTAAATAACTAACATCATTCTCTGGGGACTGTATCTCTGTCTAACCTCTCGTATTTATAGTCCTAGACTCCAAGCTCTAATATCTGGGTCAAAAACTTCTATGACGTGATAATGTCTGTAAAGTTCGTATCACATATCTAGGTGGCGACCTTCACCAACCTTCTGGAAAATAGTACTCTTAATTTATAACTTTCTTAGACTCTATAGTTCGCTTGACTTTATGGAAGATTTATATCGAGACCTTAGCTGACCATATACAATCTGTGCCCCTACTTCCTAGAAACTAGGAAGTTTTTACTTTTTATGAGGGATCTAAAATTGCTAGGGCCATTAGAGCTACAGGTAAGTACAGAACTTGATAGAAAAGACACGAAGCATCAATTCCGTTCTTTAGAAAAGATTATGTAGATTGCGAAACAGTAATTCGCAACTTATAGCAGGCTCCGATAGGTGTTTGAGAAGCACTCCAAAGCTAAGACACCCATGAATCTACTAGATCTATATTTTGTACTTGATAAGGAGTGCATAGATCCCACTTCCCCCTAAAGTCAGATGGATAACCAATAGCATTAGCTCGTCTTTCTATTTCCGAGACGATCGTGAGCTCAATCTTATGGTAGGTACCGAGAAACGCGTAGCTGTACAGCAGCAGAAAATGATCGAGTTACTTCTGAGAATTATAATCACTCTAAGTATCCCCTTAATATTTAATCTGCTTAATCTGATTCCATTCTATCTAGCACAGATCATTGTGCTACCAGACGTACTTGATAAGGTGGCACTATCACATGTATACCCTTGTCCCAACTGACCCAGTCAGGTACTGGAGATATGGATATTGGTAAAAGTTCCGAAGAATGTAGAATGGTTCCACGACGAGGGTGGTAGTAACGAGGATTGCCGACTGCGACCGAATTTGCATGATCTGCGTGACAATCAATAGTTGACGACTCTCGAAAAGAGCACAGATTTGCTAGAGAATGAAAGGACTTCAATTGTGTTTACCGGCATGCTTGTGGCATTCCCATTTCCTACATCTACTTTGAGGGACAGAAGGCAAATAATCATTAGAATCCATTCAATGGAAATATTGATCGCAATAATAAATTTCTACCTTCTTTATGGCCTGTTGATATTAGGTATGAGCGAAGAATAAGTAAGATCTTTGGTGCCCAAGTTGTTCCGCCAGGAATTGGATGCTTGAGAAACACGAAAAATCTTTGTGACAATTATGTTACTGAGCTGAGATCCGCGTGATTTTGGGCAACCATTTGTACGAACCGTTTTACGTTATCAGTGCCAGCTATGTCTTGGAAGACAGTAATCATAGTATTGATATTTGGATTGATGAAGAAGTAGCTTTTTCATTCAGTATTTCAAAAGGTATCGGCAGACAAGATTAGTACTGATACCAGAGAGATGACCTGGAGAGCCAGCCTCAAAGTTCTGCACCAAGAAGGACCACCTACTGCTTGTTTCATTCTTGAAACAGTCGAAGGGAATAGACGTGGATGGCATTTCGTCAAACCTCAAGCTTTCCAAGAAAAGCTTGACTGCAGTCAGTTTTGGGCTAAATTCAAGTTGCGATTAAGGGGAGGGGTTTAACGACAGGCTCAGCAAGCAATGATATTTTATTCTAACAACTCCAAATAAATGATGCTTAGACGAGAATTGATAGACTAGTTACCAAATGGTCATGGCACAGAATAAAGAGCTGAAAGCTGTATATGACACACGTTCTCTGGATATGGCATTGTTGAAGGAGGCGACATAAGAAGGGGTTATGCTGATGATATATTGGCATTTTGACAGAAGCTCCCTTTCAAGAAGTACAAAGATACTTTGTTAGCAAAATACCTTTTCCAGAGCCCTAACACATGGGCTTGTTGTAAAATAGATATATAAGCACTAGAGTGAGATCTAGTCTTATATTACTACTGTATAAGGTGACTCTTATTTGGCTTTAAACCCCTACAGTTTCTTGTAAAGTTGATAAGGTACCACATCCACACAAACAATTCCATAGAATTTTGGTGTGGAGCTACGTTCTCACCAGTGTAGCAAATAAGTTTTGGACAAGAAACTATCTATATTTCACCAGGAAACGCTAAAAGCTAAAAGACAGTCATGTCTTGACTGTTTTGAAGCAAATGAAAATGGTATAATATTACACTATCTTAATCACTGTCACTATCATAAGCCACCAGAGGGCCTGAAATTGCCTTTGGCTTGGGCTTCGACGCAATTGTGCACTGGGTACTCTGTAATGCAGCAAGGGTACTGCTGGAAAATATACCGCTCTCTTCAGCCTCCGCTCTTTCAACTTGATCTGCCTCGATCATCAATCTTTGCTCATCCTCCAGCTCCAATCCTTGCCTGCCCACTGGATTTACAGCATTGGCGCCTCTAGCAAAGTATATGTCATCTGGAGCCTCATAACCTGCCAATCCAAATCCGCCTTCTATCTTCTTTCGTTTCCGCGCCTCTGGATCCCGCCCTTCAATTTCCGCGACGAACTCCGCGGGCAATGCTCTCCGTACAGCTTCTGCTGCTTGTTCTTCAATTCTTCGCACCTCCCGCGCTTGGGCCATTGGATTTGGATCCGCTGTTGCCCATCGCACGTTCAAAATCTCGTTGTGATCTAAAGACTGGTGAGCCATTGCCTCTTTGGCGAATTGGGCGTTTGATTCATTTGAGTATGTGATAAATGCGACACCTCGAGTGTTCAGAACACGAACTATATCATTGTTAGCAACAACCTCAGGACAAATTCGTGTTGGAAACACTTACTTCTCTCCACTTGTCCCCATTCCGCAAAATGTCGCGCTACAACCTCCTCAATGTCATCACTAACATGAATTCTTCCCACGTATATCGTGCGATTCTGCCGCATGAAACTTCCGGTTCCTCCCATATCATCTCTGTAATCCGAGTGTTTGTCTCTCCCAAATACATCCACATTAGGATTGAACATATCATGAATCCCCGGTAACCTGTGTAGGTATTCGCATTCCTGCCCTTTGGGACATATTCCCCGCGCAAAGAATAAGCAGAAATAACTCCCAGCAACCTTGTCGGCCTTAGTATAACCCGTGTCCAGCGCAATCTTACAACGTCCTGCCGCAGCCGTCTTTGAGAGATATTTGTCTTCGCGGTCACCGCCGGACCATTTGTTGTACCATATGTTGAAAATGGTACCAGTCTGAGGAGGCGGTTCGGATTTCATGGTTGAGGGATCGAGTTGTGGTCGCGCTGGACGCTTCTTTTTGCGGATTATCTTTTTCATTTTTCGTTCGGCGGGACGCGCAACTTCTGTACCAGTCAATGATGCTTCATCCTGAGGGGGCTCCATTGTTTGGAGTGCTATTTCTGTATTGGCTTCGATGTCGGCCATTTTGTAGATGTTTTTGGTTGACATCGCATCGCGAGGTTCAGAAGTCAAGAAGGCAGGACGAGGCTGAGATTCGCGCTAGTCCTGAATGGGTATGAGTACTCACCGGTATTTTGCCGACATGCACTGTTCATCGATTTGAACTTCACAGGTCGATGAGAGTTTGAGCATATACGAATACACGATGTACTCTCGCAGAGAACTTATGTTCAAAGGAAAGCGGCCAGACTCCTGAGATAATCTAGAGCCCGTTACTCAATACTGTACTAGGTAGTTCGAGACCACCATGAAACCTTACTCGAGTACATCCTCGGTCTTTGGTAAGATTACGTGTGTAGGTAGGTGTCTCTCTTCAGTCAAAGAGGCAATCCGATATTTGAGAATTAGCACAGCTTATCTGGAGTCCCGAAGACCATGGTGCGAAGCAGGGTCAAAAGCTCTGTCCCTTACAAGACATAGCGGTATCCTATTTCGTGGGCTCCTGCGGTCCTTCCCAAGTCGACGCTTCAACGCAACCTCGCAGGCACAGGCACAGGCACAGGCAGCTACTTTCCCTACTTCCCTACGTACCCGTACCTTCCCTCCATTTCTCAAATTCTCTTGGGAAATTCTCGGCCCGCGCAATCTGGGCCTCTCAACAGCTTTCAAGTACCCAAATAACGTTTTCGCTGTCAACCAAAATAAACTCGGTGGTGTGGTGGTGTGGTGGTGTGTTGGTGTGTTTGGTGTGTTTGGTGTATTGAATTCGTTGCTAACTCAAACTTGACAGACACAAAGATTTGAAGAATCAAGATTGGTTGTCGAGTCGCGGCTTATTCATTTGAGCCCCCTCGGCCTAGGATGTTGTTCATTTGAACACGCCTAGGGTTCCATTGTTGCTGTGAAAGCTAAGCTGCGAAGAATGGTCTTTGTGAGAGCGAAGCTGCGAAGAACGTCGATGGGACGTGAAGTACGGAAATGTGTTCCGAAGACTGGTTGATCCAGGTACTGGCTTGGTGCCAGGGTATCTCGAGGTGTATCCCTAGAGAGAAAGCTGAGAGCTTTGGTGTATGTGCGATGTAGGTATAACTTCCCTTCCAACAAAACACCACCGAGTTTAAAGAATTTTTTTTAGGAAGTTCTTAGCTAGGTAGCGAAATTCTATATATTCAAGATATTATTTTTGAAGCCTTTGAAGTTTTCGTTAGACATAGACAAAAATATACCTAGGTAGGTATTGTACTTCTAGAATATAACGAGGTGCGACGCCTAGATATCCAGGTATCTAGTAGGTACGTACAGACTACAATACTAACTTATAGGAAAAGGGAACGTGTAACAGTTCTACGTTCATATTACTCCATTGTTTTGTCTCTTCTAGCTTTGGAATATACTTTATTTTCGGGTTACATGTAGTGGGTAAAGACAAGGTAGGTAGGGCTTTCGAGGCTAGGTATAATGCGTGCAAAGCGGGTGTAAGTAACTTCAATATTACTCCCATATACTTAGGTATTTCCAGAGTCGTCTAGGTACATAGAATGCTACGTTTGGCAAATGATCTCTAGTACGTAACATAGTAACGGTTAGGAGTCAAAGAGATTCAAGAACCAAGGACCAAGGTTTATGTTCCTAACGATCGACAGTTATAATTTAACAGTAGAGACTTATCGTATAACAATTTGAAATAAAGACGAACGTATAGTGTTGTCTAATCTATAAATACTCTGGTACCTGAGATCGGGATCGGGGTAATTCCTTCCCCGCGGGCACAATCCCTGATGATGCGTCATCGAAGCTTGAGTCACGTAAACATTTTATATATCAACCTTACCCCACCCCCACCACGACACCTTCACACTCCAACCACAATGGCGGAAGAAACCGCCCCAAACATCGAAGTCTCTAACCTCTCCTATACATTCGCAGACCGCTCCGAAGGTCTCCATAACATTACCCTCTCCCTTCCACCTCGCTCTCGAACCCTCCTCATCGGCGCAAACGGTGCAGGCAAAACGACGCTCCTCCGTCTCCTCTCAGGAAAACGTCTCGCGCCCTCTGGCACCATCTCTATCTCCGGCCTCGACCCGTTCAAAGACGGCCTCGAAGGTGTAACATATCTCGGTCTAGAATGGGTCCTTAATCCCATCGTTCGAACCGACATCGGTGTACGCGAACTCCTCAAGAGCGTCGGTGGAGACTTCTACGCTGATCGCAAAGACGAATTGGTTCGTGTGCTGGACATCGATTCAGATTGGAGGATGCATGCTGTTTCCGACGGAGAGAGACGGAGAGTCCAGTTGGCCATGGGACTTATCAGGCCGTGGAGGATCTTGTTGTTGGATGAGATTACGGTTGATTTGGATCTTTTGAGCCGGAGTAATTTTCTGGGGTTCTTGAAGAAGGAGACGGAGGTTAGACAGTGTACGATTGTTTACGCGACTCATATTTTGGATAATTTGGCGGATTGGCCGACTCATTTGGTGCATATGGGTATGGGGAAGGTTAAGCAGTGGGGCAAGGCCGAGGATTTACAGTTGAAGGACGATGAGACGACGAGTAATGGGAATAGTCGTTTGGGAATGTTGGTCCTTGGTTGGTTGAAGGAGGATCTTGAGGAAAGAGGTCCTCGAAACAATATGGTTGGTAGCGAGGGGAAGGCTTACTTCAGTACCGGAGTGGGAGGCTATGGTGCGGAGAAGAAACCAACGTAAATAGGATACGAAGACTCGGATGGCATGATACGATGACACAAACACGTCTGGGCAGGGAGTTTTTGGATTTTTGATTGTTCTGCATAGGCGCTTCAAAGCGCTTCATAGGCTTCAACGCCTGGTTGGGATATGCGTTTTGGCCGGCGCAACGTTTAACATAGACTTAGACTGGTCTTACTCTACTAAGATACAGGGGTAAGAAGTTTATAAGAATATACCCGCAAGGAGCTGTCTTCACTTGCAATTGCGAGTTGCATATCAAGCTCTCCAGTGTCTTCTGTCTCTTCTTTGGCCGGCTTCCAAGCTAGCTGCGTGACTGCCTTGCTTGGATTTGGGTATGTGCTAAAGCTCCTATCAGCGAGGTCAAAATATCAAATGACAAGAAATACCTTGGGTTTTTGATTGCGAGCAACTGTAACATGAAGCCATTCTTGATATCCAGGGAGTGGATGGCCACAGAGCCAGTTTCGCTTCCAGTTGCGAGAAATGCTAGGCCATCTCTTCCATTGATACCCAGAAAATCAATAGCTGTTACTGGTGCATTTTCTGAAAGCGTCGACTTGCACTCGAAGGAAGCGCCTCCTTCAGCCTTTGACCAGATATTAACTTTCTTGTCTCTTCCTGCTGTTGCAAAGATACTGGAACTGTTTGGCGCCCAAGCTGCATCCAATATCATCCTAGTATGTCCCTTTGGGTTCGCTTCTAACAGTTTATAAGCAGTCTTGTCTTCTATGTCGCACTCAAATACTGCCCATTGGCGATCTCGACCAACACTAAGGAGATGCTTGTCATCTGAAGAAAATCTCAGTCTTGCAACAGTCAATGAATGTTGCTTAAGCGGTGGCTTAATTTCCAACCAAGTCTTGGTCTCGAACAACCGAATTACAGCATGATCGATAGAGCTTGCTTTACAAGCAGTGGCAATAATTGAACCATCATGACTAGCTGCTAGTGTTGAGATTTCGTATCCATGTCCATAGAGCTTCTCAATCTCAGGCCAAAGGGTATGTCGAGAGAGATGCTCTTCTGAGGTGGGCTGGTCAAGGTCAAGAGTTGATTTGTGAACAATGGATGCTGGATCAATAGCATCATGGTTTTTGTCGTTCGTGGGTTGAATTTCTTGGTCATCGTCCACAGCTTCAATGGCTTTGTTGGAAAGTCCAAGTACAGGCATGTTGGCAGCATCTGGCATATCCTCGATATGAGACCCTTTAAACCCACATAATTTGTGAAGAAGGTTGGCAACTGCTTTCGGCTCATTGAAGACCCGCATGAGTTTTTCATCCGCTCCAGAAACAAATTGGGAAGCTCCTAGGGAGTCGATACAGTTGAGATCGTACCCATGGATTTGAGGGCGAGTCATTTCATGCCATGAGACTTGACCTTCCCGTTTCCATTTCGCATGAAGTCTTGTCGTTTGGTCAGTACTCGTTGAAAGCAAGTAATCGCCTTCTTTCGACCATGCAATCCCAGTAACTGGTAGCGTGTGGCCGCTGACACCAATTCCTTGTAGCCAACGTTCTTTCTCGCTATTGTGATTCCATAGTCTCCAGCTTCCAGTTCGCCCAAGACTTACAACGGTTTCGCCAGAAGGTGACCAGAGGCCAATCCAAAATCCACCCGTACTCCCAGTAGCTGTCGTAGATCCCTTTTCAGAGCTGATTTCTCCCAATCGAGTGGTTGTCACCCAGACTCCTGTTTCCGCATCGGCCTCCCACATAGCCACTGAATTATCCGCGGACGAGGATAGTAGTTGTAATTTCTTGTTGCCATATCTCCATCGAGTGCTGTAAATCCAGTCCTCGTGACCAAGTAATAAGGCTTCAAATGTCGCGGAAAAGTCAAGATCTTGCGCCCTGAACCGATGAGCTTTGTTTGACAATGATTTTCCGGGCATGAATGCTCCCAAGGATGGATCTGCTGTTGCTGATGCCGCTGGCAACTCTTTTCCTTGGTGGATTCGCCACAAACGAATGTATTTGTCCTGACTAGCGGACGAAAGTAACAAATCGCTGTCAGGCGCGTCGGTCTCTCTCGTGAACTCCAGTGATCTAATCCATCCTTCATGGCCGGCAAGAGTCGCTTGAAGATTAAATTCCTTACTGACAGCAGAATCAAGGACGTATATTTGGATAATATCCTTTGTTCCAGCAACGGCAAGCACGTAGGAGCCAGGTGCGCCGGTAAGAGGACTTAAAGCCAAAGCAAGGGGAAAGAACCTTGGTTTGATCTCTATAGATTGCAGCAATGTTGCCGAATACTGGTCGTCGAGCTCCCAAATTTTGACAATAGCATCTGCGGAGCCTGATGCAAAGATATTGGCACCGGCAGCTACGGCGATACAGTTTATGGAACTTTGATGATGCTCAGGTTTCTCGTTTGACAGAGTTTGATGACATTCATAATAATGTGGTGCATGTTCGTTCCTCTTCCAAATATGAAGATTCTTGTCGACGGCACCACTGATCAAAAATTGGTTGGAGCCGGGAATGAATTTCACTGTGTTGACGGTGCCTTCATGACCCCCAAGGATTTCATAAACTCCTTGGGCGTTTGAGTCCTGGAGATATGTCAGTCTCATCCAAGCCAAAAATATAGACAAAAGGATGAGAGACTCGACTCGGTCTCAACAATGCCTCGTGACCAATGAAAGTTGACTTGCCTGCGGTCGCCATAAAGCGATATTTCTATCCGCGCCGAATGCTAAAGTTCCAGACTCATCCCAATCTGCTGCTGACGGATGCCTGTTTCCTCCCGCGGCCAGGTACTCGCTCGTGATTTGGAGCATCGTCAACTCATGGACAAGCAGTAACTAGATGATAAGTCTGATATGGTGGTGATCGGAATAAAGTGACGAAGAATAATTAGTCTCAAAGCTGTTTCAGTGAATAGGAAGCATCGCTGTATTGAGGTTGATGTTGGCGCAGACCCATTGATATCAGGATGCGGTTGTTGAACCGGGGTGAAGGCACTTGAAAAATTCGAAGTCATTTTTAGAGTCACACCATGCAATGAGGAACGTTAAACTTCTAGGAAAATCAAAAGGGGATTCAGTGCTGATACTACATCTATAATTATTGTCTTTGATTTCGAATGCTACACAAGCTAAAGAAATAATGGCTTCCCCGGATTCCCAGTGTAGAATAAATAAATATTGGTGTTGCACCATTACCGTTCTGCTGCACTTTGCTTTTGGAGGTCAGTGCCAACGTTAACGACGTCGGATTTTAAGCGAGTCACACACTTTTCAACCTCGACTCATCTACCGCTTTCAACGACAGACAACATCACCAACTTCATTCTGCTCAAGCCAAATCAACCCACCCGGTCCTGCAAAATGGCCGCGGAAAATACGATACCCGTCATCGTCGAATTTACGTGAGACCCCCCGGGGACGCCGTCGGCACCGGCATCGTCCCTCGGACCTTCGGAGAAAGAGAAACTGACGTCGAGGTGACTAGGGGCGGCCTCGAGATGCTCTTTTCCGATGAACGCAAGCACAAGCTCTCAGTCCCAACCAAAGACGACCAAGGCAAGGCGGTCAACATCGGCTGGCTCGTAGAGTATCTCTGCGACAAGGTGATGAAAGACACCCGAAAGGAAATGTTTGTGTTGGATGGTCACGTGTAAGCCTTCAATTTCATCGATGCGATATGATGATATGATACGGTACTCGTCACCGCTCTTCAAAGCCTGGCTGGGTAATATCAAATCAATCCATTCCACATAGCAATATCTCGTCTCGTATGCCTTTATTCGTGTCATTCTGCTGTACCAACACATCACGGTGTCTTGTTCGCAACAATCACTTCCCAGCGAGTCTCTGCTTCACCGTTTTCCGGCTTTCGTCACTTTCCCAATCCAATTGTGTACACCTACATGTACATGGACTTTGCAGCACAGCACAGCAACACTGACGCTAATTATCTGCTTCATAGTCGCCCGGGAATCCTGGTCCTCATCAACGACGCCGACTGGGAACTGGAAGGCGAGGCTTCTTACGCCCTGCAGCCTAATGACAACATCCTTTTTGTTTCAACCCTCCACGGAGGCTGAGTCGCCTCAATATCGACCCACTGTTTTCCTCACAATACCATGTTATGGATCCAAGCGACGAAACCGTCAATTATTCCATGCAATTGCAATTCCTTTTCCATCTCGATTTAGCCACCCTGTTAGATCTCGCTATGCCTCCAAGAACGATGTTGATGTTTCTTGGCAGGGGAATCCATTCAAATCCGATCCGATACCTGGATTGGCAAGAGCATGTCACTGTGCGGAGTATTCGTATTGGGGCGGCACGCTGCCCTCTGTCTCTGAGCGGCCACTGGTCAGCTATTTGATTATTCATTTGATTATCAGAGTCGGAAAGAGACAAGTCAATATGCACGTGATGTATGGAACAACCTTGGAGAGATCTCCACAAGGATCATCTACCAAGTCTCCGTTTTCTCCAGCTCCATGCAGTAGATTTACATACCGACTCCACACACAGACTTGACATTCACATCAATCCCGATTTGCTAATGACTACCTGTGTTCTCGCCTGGTACTTACTTATACGTATTATTATTTTGTAACCAGCCCAGTGGGCAGAAATGACATCGCCGACCTCGTCCTCGCTTGTCCTACACCTCTCGCGTGCATTTTCAAGCCTCATCACTATCACCTCTCAATTTCCCATGGGTTCCTCATTTGATCGAAGCCCTAATGCATGCATGTACGCCACACCTTCTCATCACAGTAGCTTCCCCCCGCTGCAAGCCTTGTACGACCGCATTCAAATTTCTGGGAGGGAGTGGCTCTTCCCGTGGCGGCTAGTGGCTTTAGCCAGCTTCCGAAAGGGTTGTTACGCGGCAACCATCAACGAACGACAGGTCCGAATTTTCTGAACAAGCTTGGCTATGCCTGAACAACTTTATATCCGTCAATCACTCGTCTCTCCGGCCCCGGTAAGGAAGACAAACAAGCCCTGGGATTTGATGTTTGTACCCCCATCCCAACCTTTTTTGAAAAAAACCGCACGCCCAACAGTTTGCTCGCTCAGCCCATGAAATGCCAGCGGTGTAGTCCACACCATCTATCGCCCGGATTTGCCGTCAATGAAAACTTTTTCATTACCTCCTGCACCAAACACATATATTGCAGTACCTTCAAACTGGCCAGTGGCTACCTTGAAGGAATTAATGAGGCATTTTTACGATTTTGAATCCCTGAGCAAAATTCAAGGGTTTGTGTAGGATTGTACCAACCCCATGAATTTTCTCGAGACCCTTCCCTGGAGACGCGCGGGATATTTCAACAAGGAAGTGGTCAAGTTTCCGAGTTAAGCGCACCACACAACCCCTTCCGTATTCCCGGTGTACATTACGTGATCTAATGGACGGAACGCAATGGGACGCAAACAATACTTGGAGGAAGGTAGTCAAAATCTGAATGTACCTTTGTATTGAGAATGCAACTGCGTCTACATCCACTCATAATTTCTACTGAGCAAACAATTCATGTGAGGGGTAACCTCCCAATTCGTCCTTGCTTATCCTGATCAACTGTTTGTGATGAATCAATTTCTATGGATCAGTATCTCAGTATCTCTGTCTTTCGGTATCAATCGTGATGACCGATAAGGTTGGGCTTGAATTGGGCCAGGCTTTCTGGTTCACCTACCCTGCACGTGCTGCTTTGCGGGGTTAGATTGAGGTGCACGAAAGCAGGTGGGGGGAGAAAAGTGAGGCACGTAACCCTTGAAGCGACTTGGGGGCGACGAAGAGAGCAGCGGTGTTTCCGATCGTTCCAAAACCCTTCATCCCAGCCGCTCTATTTCGAGGCCTTCTTCAACATGGTATTGAAGCTATCATGCTACATTGAGACAGGATGTTGAAATTTCTAGTGACATGATTGAAACCCCAAACAATACCCTGTAAATGTCTATCTTAGGAGTACCACGCGTGGGTGTGCTTTGTGCATGGGTGGGTGTGAGGGTTGGTGACGGTAAGCGACACAAGGCGCACGGGAGTGGGAAATCGAGAACGTGTTTGTTGGATGTTTATTAATGACCAACTGGGTATCCCACATGTGTAGGTAACGTAGTACACGTTTGCGGATCTGGGAAGGAGGAAGGTCAGCTTCAAGTACCTGAGCAGTGTGTGGAGAAAACGCAATAAATTCATGGAGACAAGAAGTACATTGGGATAAGTATGTATATGCCACAATAGATATATATAAATCCAAGTAATTCAACTCATATCCCTTCCGTGTAACCGAAAATCAGCGCGATTTCAAACGACAAAACAAAACTCAATCAAGGTGACCTCCAATCTTCGCAGATGTCCAAACATGTGTAACAAAAACCAAACGAATAAGTCTTCTTCAGCAGAGAGGCCTCAGCGGCCAGCCACCCACCACCCCAACAAGTAAAAATATATAAACGCGCACTCTATTAACCCATCAAATCTTTGCAAAGCAAAATAAGCGTTTTCAAAAGAAGGAAGAAGAAAGAGAATACATGGATGCGACTGAAATGTCGACTTGAATGAGCTCGAGATATAGATATAAGGAAGGTAAAAAATCGCATTAGAACAATTGCAAAAGCAAAAATGACAGACAAGACTCAGCCTCCCCAAATTTCACAGAACCAAAATGCATCGACGTGATCCAGCCATACCATTCAAAACCCGTAGTCCCACCCAATCAACAAAACTTAGCCTCCGAGCCCGTTCTATCCACAACATCTTCAAAGTTCTATGTGCCTTTTCAAATCATGTACTGTTCCTCTTTTTTTGGAGTCGTTTTATCATTATAGATAGTAATACACATGTTGCGTTCATTACTGTTCGTACCAATCTTTCTTCCTTAGGGTCGTGTGTCGGATCGTCAACTGTCGTAAGCCATAGTCTCATGCTGCGACCTACTTCTCAAAATGGTGGGTGTGCACTAGTAGAAAGCAGGGAGCTTGACACAAATCTAGTAGATTCTGTCCCCGAAAGCAAGGTCGCTTTGAGGACTGTGGTTCCCGTAGCCATCGGAGTGCACATCGTCGTACCCACTTCCGGAGCCAGAAACACTGTGGCCAGATTGGCTACTGTCGTCAACTTCACAGATCTCGTATCGGCCATGGTTAACTCGGCCTTGGAGGTGAACTTCTGGGAGGACATTGTGGATGCTGTTTACAATCATGTTTCCACGTCCGGGTCCACTGAGACTATAGCTATGGTCGAGAGCTAAGCTATTCAGTCCCGATGAAATCGCATCGGAATCGGGACCGACCTTTCGTTGCTTTCCGCGCCCTTTGATGCCTTTATTGCTGTTCTTGTACAGCTCGCGGAAGTACTCGAGGAGCTCGTTTTCAGCAGCCGAGACGTTCTCACCGTTCTTGAAGGCGGCAAATTTGATGGTGAGATCACGGAGGGCTGCAACATGAAATTTATTTTGATGTGACTGTATTGAAAATATGTTAGTGCGAGTTGTTTTACAGCAGAGCGCAGTGGTAGAGAGAATTGACCCTTGCATCGTGAAATGGGCTGATGGGGCTGAGATTGGGAGATGCTCCCAAAAAAGCAACAGCAGATGTAGTATTCAAACAGGGATGAGAAATGAAACAACACGAAAGCAGTAACGATCATTGAAACGAATCCAAGTACAAAGATAGAACATACCTTTAAATTTCCGAGTTGAGTGAACAACTTGCCGCATTCTTTTCCGGTACCATCGTCAAGCTTGCATGGATATGGCTTGGCTTTGCCATGAACGGTTTTGTGCTGGCGCACATTACCTCGTTGGGAAAAACGCTTTCCGCAAATGTCACAAGCGTATGGCCGTTCGCCGGTGTGCCTATACTCGTGTGTCTAACCAATCTTCGTCAGTAAAGATGTTTGAGAAACGCAAAGTGTGAGGAGGAATACCTTCAAATTACCCAGTTGGGAGAAGCTTTGGCCACATCCAGGAATGTTACAATTCTGTAAGCGAATCGTCAATGAACGGTAGATATTTTTACTTCATATTAATGACTTACGTATGGCTTTTCGCCGGTGTGTGAACGCACATGAATATCCAGATGCGTCTTCTGGGAGAATCTTTGGTTGCAATTACCGACGGTGCATGTATATCTTTTTTTGTTGCCTTTCTTGGCCACGGTGTCGTCCTGGAAATTACCAGCTGTAAGCAAAGAAGTACTTGTTTCCCCAGATGAATATCCGCTGTTGTAAGAGTCGGAATGCGTATGAGGAGCGAAGGAAGCACCTACCACAGGTGATGGTGATGGCGAGTTTGAGGGCTGCGGTTGGGCTTGGATAGCTTTCATTAGCGTATCAACTTCAGTGCAAAAGTCGACTTTGGGGGCACCGTTGATAGACACAGCCGGCTTGATGGTCTTTGTGCTATTTGGAAGAGCTGTCGACGAGGCTGAAGTTGTGTTAGGCGTCAGGTTCCTACAAGGCTCGGGTTTGATAGGTGGACTTTGGCTGAGTTGCGCTTCGACAAACCCTTGACGGTTATTCCTTTCATACGGAATTGCTCGAACTTCGTTGTGGTGAGGAGTATGGGCCAAAGGGGGCAAAGGTCTCTGTTGAATGTAGCCAGCCGTAAAGGATGGAACACCACTCACTCCAGCATATCCACCGAAACTAAAGGGATTGGTAGGGACGTGTTGTTGTGTCGCGATAATTGCTGCAGAACCATGGTACTGTTGATTGAGCATATATTGAGGCGCAAGAACCGCTCTTGCTGTGAAGTCTCCGGAAGAGGCTGCTCTGTTGTCATAGGCCAGTGTGATATCCATGGCGTAGTAGCTGTCGACCGTGGAAGACTGCTCCGGCCACCGCCCCCAGGTCTGGTTGGATTTTTGTTTGATGACCGCCAGTTTGTCGGTAGTGTCTTGCTTGAAAGCAAGACTTTATTAGATAATAAAGAGATTACAGTTCTATTGCCAGGGAGCGTGTTTGGGGATCGAAAAGCCGAAGGTTGAAGTAGGATACAAATGTCCGCCCGAAAAAAGTGACGAAGGATAAAGTTATCTGTATATAGGTGTGAGATCATCAATAACGCTGTCAAGAATCATTGGAGAACACGAGGGAGGCGTGTTTCGATATTAGTGCCAATGCCAAAAGAATCTTTCAAGGTGATTTTCAACGATGGTTATGAGAATCGTGCTTTGATCGTCCTGTGTAGCAATCCGAATTTTCATAAAGATGGACACAGATCCATTCATATAGAGATCGAGTCCCAAACTCCCCCACCCCAGTGGAAGCAATATTTGCCGTGCAGTCGAGTGGTACCATCCCACGTTGGCAAAGCTGAGACTGAGCCAATAAGCATCATTCGGGCGGGAGTATAGCAGTGAAACAGACAAGGCTAAGAGACTGATATCCTCATTGTAGAGGTGAGCGCAATGAGCAAACACCTGCTCGTCAATCAGACCAAAAGGGACTAAACCTGTTGAGTGCCCGTACTTGGGGACGACAAGGGTGACGGGGTTTTCACGATTTGTGAGTAGACCAATGCAGACGAAGGCTTACGCTTCTTGGAACCATGTACATCTCTGTACATGGAGAAGTCTTGTAATCTCTACCTTGGGAGGATTGGCAACATTGGTTGTGGGCAAGCATTGATCGACCCTGTGTCCCGGCTCTCCTCCCTGCGGCAAGGAAGAGGGAGGAAGTGGACGTGGAAAAGTGACACTAGGCCATGATGAGTAAAAGGGGGGGAGGCGATGTACTCGGTACAGCCAGAGCATGAAGAGTAACCAGCAAAAGAGGTCAAAGTAAACACGCCCAACCCGAGCGCTAGGTTCAGGGATCTTGCGAGGCACCAAACGCGATCTTAGATGGAGGAACTGCTCTGCAACTCTGCAACTCTGCCACTCTGCATGCTGATGATGCAGACGACAGGGCCCCCTACGAGGGACGAGTAGAGAAACGACCAGGCCTCGCGGAAGCCGACCAGGCTTGCGGCACGCCGAATACCGCTCCACAACTCGGGAGCGTGGGGGATGCGATCAGGCTTGTCTTGAGCGTGAAGTCGGGGTAAGGGCCCGCCTCCGGCAGGGCTGTAAATCTGTGGATTTGGGAGAGTTAGCAGAGGCGTATTATGCAGCAATGAAAGACACAGTGGCAGTGGCAGCAAAGTGGTCGATGGTGGCAGAGACCAGCTGCAGCTCGAGAGGGAAAACGGCCGCGGACGGCTACCAACTTCCCTTTCCCTTGCCCCTATTCCCGAGGGCAACCAGCCAAGTGACAAGTGTATCCGTGTTCCTAATGCCTATGCCTATGCCGGATTCCCGTGATCTGATGAATACCGCCGTGCTGTATTCGCTTCTTGAATCAGTGTCGATGGGTATGCGATCCCGTTGTGAGCGGACACAAGTGATAGACATGCCACACTCTCTACACCACACTGTGTACAAAGCACTTCCGTATCGCCATATCTTGGTGCTCCAAAGAACGCACCGCACCGCACCCTATTCCATGCCATCAAGTAAGTATTTCAAGGTTGAAAATCAAGATCAAGGACCCTGGTCGAGACCCGATCTCTCGCCATCCAATCCAGTTGGTTGGTCGGAGAAGTATCTTACGGACCCCAACTCCCCATCCCCGTCTCCCGCAGCGGCATGAAAAAAATACAACTCCCGCGCGCCGCGCGCCTGTCAAGTCCCTTCAAATTCGCTTCTCGCAGCATCATATATGATAACAACCTGCACTCAGCTCTGACCAGCCAGTTTAGTATTGCCGTGTGTTGATTTCCCCACGATGGTTGGCGGAAATGTCTTGTTTTCGTGGACTAGATGGATCAAATTACGGTGCCATTGCGTTTCCCATACCAGTCCCGTGCAGTCAATACTTCGCCTGTAGCATCGCTTCGTCCCTGTTCCAGCATCCCATACACTCATCTGTCCATGAGCGGTTTTTGTTACAGTTAGGGGCAAGACCAAGCGAAGCGTTTCTCTAGTCGGTCGTACAAAATTCGCTGTGTACCACATAAAGATTCGAGAGGTAGTTGTTGACAGGTCTTATTAGAGGGACGGAAACGGGAAACCTCAGCCATTGCAAACAAATAGCGGAAATGGTGCAGTCTTCGCCTGTGCCAACCCTGCTTTGGCCTGGGCATCAGCATCGTCCCTTGATCGATTCTTGCAACGATACGACAAAGATGCTTGTCCATTGCCATTCGCATGAAGAAGCGTGGCTATAAGCTGTTGCTATTTTCGGAGATTTTAGCCACTCTGCTGTATGGTTATACTCTCTAGTAACATGTGGAGTTCCTAAAGTTGCGGTAACCATGACGATAATTGAGATACCAGAAGGGAAGTAGAACAGGAAACGCATGCTAGAGTGGCGCGCCAAATAACATATATGAACTCCCACTACATTGAAGTAACATGAAAACTGCAATATGACCCGTTGCCTATGGCTTTCGAAGCTTGGTTTACTACCGCATCCACGACTCTTGGAAGAACTAAAAACCATAAGAGAATTGCGCAGGCCACTCGACTTGCATGTGGAGGATACCAACGAATCAATCATGAACTCATATAGAAAAAGATGCGAAATCGAGTCTGTCCTATAGCATAGGAGAGAATGCATACCATTCGAAGAGAACATAATGCGAGAATTCTAAAGACAGCACGAAAATGCCTTCCTGGATAATTCCCATGCATGGTGTGCACCCTGCGGTCCCAGGACTATGGTCGACAGGTCGATCAGTCCTACGCTGCACGCCGGAGAGCGCCAGATATGTCCAAAGTCGCGAAGTACTCGGGGACCTGATGACAGGCGTATGGTTGCCGTGCACGAACTGGCAACATGTGCCACCGCCACTTTATTGCCTGAAAGAGCTCTCGGCTCCTCATCGTGACGAGAATTTCGGGAGGTAAAATAGAGAGAGCACAGGCGAATTCGCACGGAACCATCCAAGATGAGCACCACTTGAAAGACTCTGGGCCCAATAATGCGGCTCATCTAGAAATGTTTCGGTCCAAAGAGGATACCATATCTGCCACAAGGGAAGTCCAAACCTGAGAATCCAAGGACAGGCCACGTGCTGAGATTCAAGGGACACTGGCAGTCAGAGAACCAGTTACCAGTCATTCGCGGCGACTACTGAGTATACCTCAATCTACGCATTGGTATATCTTTCCCCTCGGAGTCCGAAGGGTTGATGCTATTGTGCTGCATTGCATGGTCATTGGGAACTTGGTGTGCGAGGTTGTGAATTTCGTGGTGGCTTTCGGTTCAAATGTATCTGTACTGCGGTGCAAGTCACTCTACCCGAATACACAGCATTACAAAATGCAATTGTTCGTGCTACACCGGTTCCGAAAAAGAGTCCCCAAACGTGTGCCTGCATCGGGAGGTGGGAGGTGACGCGGTGTTGGGTCGTAAGGAGGCAGAGGGTTGGTGGAAAGGTGGTGGGAAGTTCAGCCGAGCTGGAGTTGAGCCTATCCAAGATCAACGTCGCCTAACTAGGCTGGAACACCAAAACCTAGAAACAACGTCCGGCCAACCTGAAGCCACAACACCATCCAAACACCCCGACACATCGTGAGCCTATGACATGATGACATGGCCTCGTAGTTGGCAACTCGTTCTCATGGCCGGCATTGTGTGCCTCTCTTCCTTCGGGTCCTCCAGGCCCGCCCAGCGCTGGGAAAGGAGGTGGAGATGGAGATGGAGATGGAGATGCATCCCTAATCATGTCGATTCGATGGACTCAGACTTGGTCCTTTCGTTGCCAATGGATCGCTGCCAATGCCATCGATCAGGAAGCCCAGTTCACAATAGGCATCTTTTGCGAACCGAAACCATCTGCAGTCTAAAGAAACAGAGCAAAGCATGCCTCATCGGCATGCCGAAATCCTAGATATGATATTTCGGCGTGAGAAATGGCATGAACAAGCCGGGCTTCATCTCCCCCATCTTCAGCTGTGGTAGACTGCCTGTCCTGTCATATGCATCGCCTGTCACATCCATCACGAATGCCATGCATAGAGAAACCGGAAGCTCTTCCGCCATAAGTGACCATCCTGGAACCGCATTCTGACACATGCGAGAATAGAATTTACCAGCAGGCAATAGAAGATCGACTGTAAATCATGGCGGTGGCACACGGCACTCGAATTTTACCTGTGACTATGTAGCCTGAAAGGATGTGAAAATATTTGGCATCTCGACAATGGTTAACCATAACTTGGCAGTAAGCACTATTCAAGCCGCTCGTTCTGAACCCTATCGATAGTAACTGAGCGGACTAGTGAAATTTCTCCTTGAACAAGAGCGCTATATTATCACTTTGAAAGATTTCGAATCGCTGTCATCTAATGAATCAACTCCAGGAGCTTGAGACGACTTCGCAATCTGCTCAAACTTCTGATTCTTGTAGACCATCACGCAGTGGACAAGGTAAAAACAGTCGCCAGCTTTATTGTTATTGAATCACAATTGTTCTGGTGATTTGGAACAGTCAAAAAATCAATTGGACATTTTAGGACAGTTAAAGTAATTGTCACAAGAAGTTTAGGTTGGCCACTCATCGAGTAAGGTACAATCGGTAGAGAATCTGCTCGCTCACATGGGCAAGTAAGGAGCTTGAAATTCGTCATATCATGTTCTCGTAAGTATTTCATCACCAACACAAACAAGGGAAAATACTTGCCGCCCCCTGAGCTAAGTTGATCAGCCGTTCCTGCCGTGGGACAGTGGAGACCCCAACCTATATGGACATTCTTAATTATCCCGGACTTTGCCTTGTCAACTCCCACACAGCAAATGAGCGAGCTCCGGTGTCATTCTTTTCTCCAACTCGCCGCATGGGCTTCTTAATTCGCATGAATCCTGGTCTCCATTGGAACGCTTCAGCATGCATCCTGCAACCTCTATCTCCCCCGCGGTGCCCGTCAGGGGTGTGCGCAATCGAGATTCAGCACCCTTCACCCCATGAATGTTCCAGTAGAAACGACCTAAGCCACTCTCCGGTAGTCTACCCCTCATGGGGAGCACTTTATTTTCATCGCTGCATTTCATAGATGTCAGAAGTTATGGGGCTATGGATTGAGTGGTACAGCGATATACTTTTGTCTATGTAGTGAACTTGGGTTTGGTTGAGCCCTTCTTCTCAAAGTAAGTCGTTGCCGTGGAGTCGACTTTTACTCCTGGAGTTCCTTCCTTCTTCTCTGCAGAGGGCAAGTGCAGTATCTGGCATGTACATACTGTATGTTGTATGCATACCAAAGGTTGCCTCGTCATTTCTGCAACCGACTGAATGCGATAGATCTTGTGGGAACTCGTTTCCGGAATCAGAGGTGCAGGCAGTATACCACCCAGAATTGAGGAAACAAGAGATGCGACGGGTAAACGGCAAAGTTTTGTCCATCAGATGAACACTTCGTTCAGTGGTAGTCATGTCATAAACCATATCAAAACTCAAACGACGTGGATTCCACTTGCGTGCGTTTCAACCAACCGTGCCAAGGATTATCTTCCTGCCAGGCTTGTCAAGTTGCTGCAAGCCTGTCAGAGCGTACTTGAACATCTTGTCCGATTATGCGGGTATGGCTTGTCGATTGCTTCTGTTTGTTGCAAGTTTCGCAGTCTTGGTAAATACCCAGTTGCTCTCATTTTCGTGGCTTACCTTGATATACTCGGTTAGACAGATGATGAAGACAGTTCAACCTCGAATTCTGTTGAGCTGATTATGCGCAACCCTACTCAGATGCATATCAGATGCATATCAGATTTACTCGGTGCGATCGTTTCGGGTGAGTTGCGTGCGAAACCCTCTGAAGCCACCTCCCCAATCTTGAATGGGGAAAAGAAGAAAGTACGTTATCGTGGATCTAGTTCTTGCCACATCTAAGATCTTCCGCTACACAGGCCGCAATGTGATCTTATCATGCAATCAAAATTTGGAAGTTAGACTGAACTTGATATTTGGGGAGTATTTTGGCTCGTCTTCAAGCAAGGAAGCGTAGCATCCCCGCATCACGCTCGCAACCGACACTTGAAATGATTCGAAGTACTACTGTAGAAAAGCACAGATCAACTACAAATTTTCACTGACGAGATTCCTCCGTCACTTCTCCGCTGGACTTCATTTTCCATAGTACGCGAATACGACATAACTTTCCTTTGCCTCTTTTCATGTCAGCCTTATGAATGAAACCGTATCGATTGGGTGTTTTGTTCCCCTAAATTTGTTTTGCTTCTCCTCTAATCTCTGTGAATAACATAGCCCTACGTTACTTGAAACTTTCTTGGTACATCTTTCCGTTTTGCGGTGATATTTTGGTTTCCGGGAAACACGATGCTTCAAAGCGTGCGTATTGACAAATTACGTTCTCCTATAACTCAAATGAACTAAACTCACCAATGATGACCCAGAAATAGAACGTGTGTGTTGTATGAAGAATGATTTGCTCCTCCATTTAGATTTCTCTGCGAAGATATTTCCCTATGTGGAAGTAATTGGCGAATACCTTTTAGAGAAAGAGCGATGGGTGGGGTTTCTTCCATTTCGGCTCAGCCGATTCATTTGTGTGTGGGAGTTTGGCGAGAGCAAGCTATTGACTCGCTGTAGATTCTCTTCATGACGGGGCCGTTGATCCCGACTTCGCCCCTCAGGAGAGCAGTGCGCCTTGGAGTGTCTGGCCATAATCGTGATTGCCTGAGTAACAGGCAATGATACACGGTGCAAGTTTGTAGTGATGGATTCTCTCATATCTGCCGGGAAACTCGGGGATAAGACGCAAGTCTTGTACTCTGAACGCTTCTCCTCTGTTTATTTCCGAATCTCTTTCATGCCTTACTTTCAGCAACCTAAAAGTCTAGATCACTACCCCCACAAAAGATAACCCACAGGTATACAAGATTCGCTGACGGGGTACCCCGTCATGGGGTCTTTGGATATGTTGTTGTTTTTGACTAGCGGGGAAGACCCTGGAAACAACTTGTTAGTAATGAATCAGATGAGGAGGCTCTCAATCCTTTCAGGCGCCACTAGAAACTCCTTGGGGGATGTCAGGGAGTGCTGATCTGGAGATCAATGGAAGTGTTGATTGTGGGGTCAGCAGGGCAGGATCTTGCTGTATATTTGGTGGTTAATTGCTTGGCACCAGTTTTCAGTACTCCTCAGTCGTGACTTATCTACTCGGAAAATCCGGGGGAAGGGGGGATGGGCCGCTTGTAGTTACAGATAAATTGCTGGATGTGATGTATTAAGCATAATAGCGCGACTGGATATTCATTGCCAAGCCATGAGTCGCCTCACGGGTAATATATGTCTTACT